CAAAAAATTAAAACCAGGCACTGAAGTTTTTAACCTTTACAGAAACATACATTAAAAAGTACCATTATTATTTCTGACCCTGTTTTACAGAACCTTGTGGAGTTTGTGTTCATTCATAAAGTAAAACTAAGATTGATTTCTGGCTTTTTTTGTCATTCAGAAAGCAGCAGAGAGCCTCCATAAGCTCAGAAGAGAACGACTCGGAGCGCACCAGCCCAGTGATGCTGGACAGTGGGCTCCTGTCCCCCCAGAACAAGCCCCACAGAAGTATGGACCCTTCCCAGTCCTTCGGGGCATGCTTTGCAGGTGCTGGGGTAACCCCAGCCTGAGCTGAACGCTGTCTTGCAGGCTGGCCAGGAATGTCACAGTCCCTGGAAATCTGCGAGGGGCTGGAGGAGTGGTCAGGTAACCAATACCTCTCGAACTGCTCGGACACCGAGGAGGAGGATGGGAACCAGCTGGTTAGTACAGAGGTGCAATGATCCCAAAGCTTGGGGTGCTGCTGGTTTTGGTCATCTCGCTTTGTTTTGCTTCGCTGGATAATGTCTGTGTCTTGTCCGTGTCACTCAGATTTTCCGTATCTCAATTTGGCAAATGAGGAGATGTCTTAGACACAGTTTCTTGAAATAATTTAAATTAAAGTAGCTGATAGGGCTCTGTCACGTTCCCTGCGGCAGTCAGACATAACAGCTGCGTGATATGAAATGCAGCTAAATAAGATAGTTTTTTCTTACTACCACAGTCTCCAGGAAAATACAAAGCCCTTGCAGACTGCAAGAGGAGAGGATCAGAGGACCTGCTGGTGAAAAATGGGGATGAAATTCAGCTTTTGCATGAAGATGGTGAGGGACAGTGGTAGGTATTTTAGGATTACTTTGCCTTATCTCTCAGGGCCTGCAAGGCAGTCCTGTGCAACCTCGCTTGCCTGGTGATAACACTCATTGCAGCTTCTAATTAAGTTTTAGACTATTCCAGAAAGCTGGGGAATTCATTCCTTTGCCAAGACTAGAGGCCATATGCACTGTCTTGGCCTGGAAAAACGTGTCAGGACTTCCCTTGCCATGGGTGTGTGAGCGAGCTGTGTTTTGCCAACATCTTCACAGCCCCTCTTGCCATGCTCTTCCCTCTTCAAATGGTGCTTCAAGTGGGAGCTCTTTGCCTGCCCCAGCTCAGTGTTGGTTTTGTTCCTCTGGACAAATTGAGTAATTGCAAGGCATTTTCCTCCCTCAGACAGCTGTATGGGTGTTAACTGGTTAATGGCTGCTGACCATCTTTCTGTTGTATTTAAAGCTGTGGCTTGCAAGATAACACTGCACAGCTGGTTCTCTCCTTATGGCTGGGAAATCACCATACCCAGCCCCCTGCCTGTTGAACAATTGGTCTTCTTGTCTTGGAGGGCAGCATGTCCTCTTCTGATTTTTGCAGCAATTTGGCTGAGATTTCTAGCTGTCTTTCCTTTCCAGATTGATTTCTGACTAGGTCTTGTCAGCCAGCCCCAGGGTCTCAGTAGGAGAGAGCACAGCGAGCTAATAATGCCTTGTTCGGGATGTGGGAAGGGTGGTATTAGCAGGAACCTGATCAGATTTGTGCAGGCACTAACCAATACATGCACAGACACAAATGCCCTGTGGAGCATTTCTGGCCAACATCTACAGCCCTTGCACTTTGTGGGAAAACAGAGCAGAGTAGAGTACAGTAGAGTATTTCAGTTGGAAGAGACCTAAAATGACCATCTAGTCCAACTGCTTTTTGAAAAATTCAGTTTGTTGTTAGCAAAAGCAAGATGTAAAGCATCTCAGTTTTGCTGAATGCTCACCACCTCTCATGGTGGTTTCAGCCAGTGCCAGGCAAAGATTTCTCACAGCAAACTTTTTTGTTAGCACAAATTTCACTGCATGAATGAGACAGAGGGATGTCATTTATGAGCATGAGTATTTCCAGCTGCCTAAATCTTGGCTCAAATTTACTTATAGTACCCTGATTAAATTAATCCTACCAGTCTGGCTCAATAGCAGAGAAGCAAGGAAAGTAATTGCCCTTGGGTCCATCGGTAGTCAATGGAGGAAAACTGGTGTCTCTGGAGGTCTCAGGCAGGATAACTGATGCTCTGGAGAGCCCTGTTCCTCTCCATCGACTAGAGAGGGGCCCAAGGCAGCTGTGCTCCCAACATAGGCTTTTTTAATTAGATTCCTAAATTTAAGTGGGAAGAATACTTTAAATGCATGCCCAGCTCTTGATAAAATGCTTCACTGATTTGAGCAAATTGTTGTTGCACTGACAGTTGTGTAGAGTGTCCCCATATCAAACTGCTCCTGGGTTGGTTTCCTTCTTTTACTAATGCTGTTGTCGTTCAAAGGTTGGTGAAAAACCTAAACAGAAGAAAAGAAGGCTGGATTCCTGTCCACAGTCTGCAGATAGTAGTTGGTGACTGCAGATTTCGGAATGCCAAAGTCACAGGTATCATATAGCACGCCTAGCAGAAACATTTTGTAACTGCGATCAGGTCTTTTAAGCCATTTGCATTACACTTGGTGTACTAAATCTGTCTGCATATGCCTCTGCAGGAAAAAAAAAGAAAGCAGCTACTCCAAAAAGTCTGCAAAAGTAGTAAATTAAGCTTTTTGTTTGTTTGTTAACACCTTAAGAAATTTCTGTGACTCTAGGCACTAGTAAATTAAACTCAAGCATTTAAAAACTTAGATTTCTTTGCAAGAGCACTGAGTAGAAGATCAGGGAGAAGAAACGGAGTCTGACCGGGGGTTCCCGTGATTGTTCTGCCTACTCGCTGCTGTAGATCAAAACCTGTGTGAATAGGAGGTGCCTAGGCAAAATCTCCTCCTGCCACAAAAGACGCTGTGGCCTGACCCCCAGCACTCTAAAGGCAATATGTAATTTCTGCAGCCTCACTCTTGCCCTCATTGCTGCCTGCTTGTTAATCCATCGTTAGAAGAAAGTTTATTATAAACAGGTTACCAGGTTTTTGTCAGAAGGCTTGTAGTCTCCAAAATCATATTTCTCATTTTCTAGCCATAAATGTACATAGAAATAGATAGGGACGCATAACAGATGACACAAGAAAATGCCTTAAGAGCAGCCTGTCACCTTTGCCGTGTACACAGCATCACTGCTTCATGTGTGCCTCATCACCATGCTGTCCACTGGAAATGGGAGACCAGGGTTTGTGATGGAAGCAGCTTAGGAAACCCACATAGATTTAGTCCATTAAAAAAAAAAAAAAAAAATCCACCAGTTGTGGCCGTATGAAACAAATTTTGCCAGTAGATTTCTTTTTAAATACTTCCTTTCTGTCAAAATCTGTTGTTTTGATGAACAAGAAGGAAGCCTTCTGAAAGGCCTAAAATTATTCCAGTCTGCTCTTGATGGTTTTCCAGTATATTTCAGTGAGATCCTTCCTATACAGGAAGGTAATTTTTTATCCCCTTGGTTGCAGGGCAGTCAGATTTCACAGGATGGAGGTTTTCTGACTTTATGTGAGGGGTAGGAGTGGGCTAGCAGCACAGCTGAGAGGACTCCCTTTGGCGCGCTCCCACCCTGGAGCACCATGTGTTGTTTTTTCAGGAAGTCTGGTCATCATATCTTGCTGGGTCCTTGGCTGCAGCCTGTGCAGGAGGTTTCTCCAGCCGTGATTGCATCCTGAAAGTAGGGTGTCAGCAAACTTTGAACACCAGTTTGCTTTGCCAGTGGCCGTATCCCCCAAAGTCTAGAGACTCGCAGCTCCAGGCTCATTTACGAAGTTTCTGGATACAAACTAAAGAGAATTTCACAAGATGAAACCACGGAAAGCTCCTCCTGTTAAGTCTCACACCGCTGCCCAGACACTTTGCAATCACGTTGCCAGGGTCTAGTTATAGCACTGAGGCTCTATTTTCCCTGTTAAGTTTAACTCTGTTCTCTCTCGCTGTTGCAGATTGTGTATGCAGTCTCTAGGCATGATTCTAATTTTACATGCACTCCAGGCAAGATTGTAGGGTGATGTAGGATGTTTTCTTGCCATTTCCTAGAGCTATTCCTAGAGCTTTTCAGTGACGTGTCCTTATAGCCATAATATAATTGCACTCTGAAAACTGACTTTAAACAATACCTTTGCATTTAGCAATTCCGTTTCCACTGTGGACTGGTCATTTTATACTGCAGGTGACTTTGTAGCACTGCCAGCTCTGGGACGTGGTCTGGATCGGGCTCTTTGCTTCTTCAGAAGATGGAGCTCTTGCTCCAATATAGCAGAGGGAGAAGTAGGCAGCCAAGCTTGTAGAGCAAAGTAGGGGCAGGAGGGAGCACCGTAACCCTCACCTGTTATTAGCTGTTTGCGCTGAAATGCTGTTTTGCATGTAAGCAGTGTAAACTTGATTAACATATTGTGGAGTCTCTAAGAGCTAGAGCGTGCTGGAGTTGCTTCAGAGCTGGGGGAGAGGCACTCCTGGCCCTTTGAGGGGGGTAGTGCCTCCGTTATTGCTGGGCTCCACCTTTCCCCAGTTAATAGAAACATATCTTCAATCACAGAATTTTACAACTAGAATTCATAAAAAACTGGGATTTGGGTTGTTTTGGGGTTTTGTTTGTTGTTTTTTATTTTCTCAGTGCGAAGCCTTTAGCTGAATAGATGAAACAGTTCCCTTACCTTCACTTTTTTTCTTAGATTTACACTGTGGCCATAACAAAAACATCCCACCACAGGATGGCTGGTACCTGCACACTTACAAGCTATTCCTCTCCCCACCTGCTAATTATCCCAGTGCTGGGCCGGTACAAATCATGCAGAAGTTACAGGGAACTTTTTTGCTGCCCATTTTAAGGTATTAGATGTGTATTTTGTCACTGCCCCACTCCCCTACCACTGCTAGCTTTGCAAATCCACCTTCCTCCTGCACCTAGCGTGCCAGTTGAAAGCTTATGTGCAAAGCTGAACTTGAAATATTGAAACAAATCCACAGATGATTTTTCTTCCTTTCCTTACATGGTTGCACAGGTAATTTTCCTTATAGGTGGGTTGTTACTATAGGCAATGCCATGTAACTCTTGTTAAAAGAAGTATTTTGGTCCAAGGCTTCTTTTGCAAAGGTGTGTATGTGGGAAACCTTGTTGAACTTTTTGTAAATCTTGGCCAGGATATAAGCCAGGGGGCTTTTAGGGAGGAAGATGGCTGGCTTGGAGGTAATTTTGAAAACCAGTTTTCCCTCTGGTGTGCCTCTAGCTGTAATTTCTGAGATTAGTCCTTGCTGCTTTTTTCTGAATAGATTTATTCTGTCTCCTGTGCAAATGCATGGTGGATTTTTTTTATGTGTGTGCCATAGGAGTAGTTTCTTATCACAGGTGATAATGTGCAGATCTGAACATGGAAAAGGTTTGGAGACAACTCTGCTCAGAAAAAGCAATATTCAGAAAATAGCTACTGCTGAGATTTACCTGTGTGTTGCTAGTTTAAGCTGCCTTGCTGAAGCGCTCAGGCATTGCCTGGTCAACTGGCTCAACTTCTATATGCATTAACAAGGAGATGAAAGATTATCTCTTCATTTCCCTTGTGCAAGATGCACATCTTGAGGAAGGTGAGGGCTGCAGCCTTTCAATCTCAATTCCTTTTCCACAGTGGGGCAGGAGACAAAACATTTCTGCAAGTCCCCTGGTTGCTCATGTGCCAAAGATCAGGATGTAGAGCACTGACAGCGCTTGTGTCAGTGAAGGAAAAGGCATCTCGCCCCTCAGCTGTGCTGCAGCACCCACTGCATGGCAAATGGAGAGGGGGGACGGCAGAAATGAGGTCCTTGCCATAACTCAAAGCAAATGCGTGACTTGTTTCCACTTCAGTGGCACAGTGCTCATGTCCAGCAGCACCTCAGCCTCCCCTCTCATCAAGGGAAAGGTTTCCCCACTGGTAGTGGCTGAAGGACTGAGCTTACATGTCCTCTGCTCCTGCTGGCCAGGGCGGTGGGGATCGTCGTCTTGACTATGGTGAGCTTGAGGCAACCCTTTATGTGGCTCCGTAGGCCGCATGATTTGAGTCTGCCCGATAAGAGTAATCCTACGTGGCTGAGCTCTTTGCAGGCTGGCATAAGCATGTTAGCTGAAATGTGCAAGTTTTGTCTAAATTCTGATTAAAATGCCACTTGTAGTTTTGCAGATGCAGCACAGCTGTTTGCACTATTACTCATGCACTTTAATGATTGCAGCCACAGGCTTTTGTATTTATGCAGGGTCCATTAAAGGTAACGTTGATTTCCTTTTGGCCTTTGAAACTTAAAGCAGGGTCTCCATGTACAGCCTGCGATGCCAGCCAGCTTCACAGAACAGCTATTTTGTAACGCTGTAGAAAACCATTTTGAGCCTGACAAAATAAGGAGCCTAGAGAAGATATCAGCTGGCTGCGCTGTGATAATCAAGTGATTGATGATGGAAATGAGTCAAACCCTGTGGTCCTGCCTTAGACAAAACTCTCACTGAAGCTAGTGGGAGTTCAGCATTTAGGGAGAACTGCAGGAGTGCACTTATTATTTTTTATGTTATACAAATGTGATGTGATTACAGGGAACAATGTATTTCTTGGAATAAGATGCTTTAATATTAACATCATTCTTCATTACTTTATAGATGCTGCCCTGTGTAACACAAGAAAGTTTAGTTCCCCTTGAATTAAGGGTGAACTAGTAGCATCCTATTTTCGATGCTCTTTGGAAGCTTTCAACTAAGTGTTACAGAGAAATAGCACAATAGTTGGAGTTGTCCTGTACTATTCATCACATTCACAGACCTCCACAGCTTCATCTGCACTGAACGGGACTGGGGTCCTAAGCAGCTTCTCATAGTCATAAAGGAAGCCATTCTCTGCTTTTTCTTTTTTTTCTCCTATGGAAAGTACAGTATTTTATTATTTTTACCTGCTGTTTTTCCATGACATCCATCATGTTTCATCAGAGAAGTACACTACAGTTTCCTGACACTTTGTTTAGATGCTTTGAAATTTCCTCTACAGGTTGAAGGCTTTACCTACTTATTAGCTGACAACTGTTGAAGTTGCAAATAAGAGTTGAGTGTTGGTAAACCAAATAAAACCCCAAAAAAATACCAAACAAAGAAGCTGTATATCCTGCTTAATTGATTTTATGGATGGATTTTTCTTAAATACCTACTTCAGCTGTGTGAATGTAATGTTCTGTAAGAGCATCATCTGGCTGACTCACATGTGAAGATGCAATAATGCTAAAGATCCTCTTTTTGCACTTAGGGTCTGACTCCAGCCCACTGCAGTCAGTCCCATTGATTTCAGTGAGGTTTGGATCAGGTCAAACTGACAACTCAGGGTTGTCACCGATCACTTAGGGTCCCAACGTGTCCCAAGGCTGAAACCTGTATCTAGCAAGTGTTGAAGTTTACATTAAATATATGTACTTTCAGAACACGTGCCATAAATCGAAATTAAATGTCCATGTTTGCACTAAGGATGTTCTTGTGATAAGACTGTACTTTTCAGCATCTTTAACAACAATGTATCTATTGAATTTTTGAGAAAGAAGAAAGAATATTGAACATTCATCATTTAATTTTGTGTTTCTTTGCCTAGTTTTGCTTTTGTAGAATATAGGTACAGGTGATTTGACTTTTAAGCGGATGTGTGCAAAGAGCATCTGACTGTGTTGAGAGCAGGGTTAATAGTATGCATGCGGTAGTGAATTTGCTCTGTCCCATCAAAATGAAACATTTTATACCGTGGACTAAAGGGGGACCTTTATGATCTGACTTTGGTTTGTGAACCATGGATTCTTAGACACAGTCCCAAGTTGTTAAGTTAAAACGTACTGGGTTGGTTTTTTTTTCGGTGACCATTTTTGTGTGGAGAAATTGTTGAATTACGTGATGGCTGTGGTTGCCTGGGGGGTTCCCCACCACACTGGTGGGCATTTCTCCAGTTCAAGTGGCCAGTATTGCAGGTAACCCCTGTACACCCTCAAAAACGTGACCACCTGAGTCTGAACTGAGCAATGCTGCAAGACCTCGAAAGATCCCAGTGTTCTTCAGCCACTGGCAATCATAGCAGAGAGATTTTAAGTCACTGAAGGTTATTTCTGTCTACTTTAAAACTGGTCACAATGCACTTGCTAGATGGCGAAGTAGGAGTTTCTTAAGTTACTATCAGGGCTGTTTATAGTGGTAACAATTGTGGTAACTACACATTTTGAGGTACAACTGTAAATATTTGTCTCAAACGTAGCACACATTGCATATTAAATGGTTTTAATATTTTTTGTCTTCCATAGTTTTAAACCTAGGCTTTTATTGATTTATGAGGTTGACAAGTTGTGCAAATCTGAATGTACAGTCTGAGATTTTTAGCATTTGAAACTTTGCACACGACATGGTATGTTACTTTAAGTATGCTGTCAAACTAGGCTCTTCATATATGTATAAATTACAGTAGAGAATTTTCTCTGACTGCAAGTTTAAATGAACTATATTGTATATGTACCTGTAAAAAAATGTGTTAAATCTATATTTAAAGATTAAAAACTTGTTAAATAAATTCGTATGAGAACGTGCAATTCTGTCCAAGGACACCTCTGGTATAATTCTACAGAAAAAAAAAAAAATTCTTACATTGGTTTTATTTGATTTCTTTGGAACAAGTATAACCTTCTCACATGCATTTTGATTTTAAAATAAGCGATTACCTTTTTGCTGGATGTAGTGGCAATGAAATTGGGAGAGACACCTTAGTGCTCATACAGATGTCTGAAATCGCAGCTATTGAAATCCTGCCCTAGCTCAGGGTGTCTCCATCACCAGCATCCCCTGCATCCCAGCACCAGGCAGTGCTGCCAGGAGGGACCTCTGGGCTGCTGGCCGTGGGGCCATGCTTATGGGTGGGTGCATGGGGGCTGTGCAGGCATCAACAGCCCTTTTGCAGGTGGTGTGGGGGTAGAGGTGGTCTTGGAGGCACATCTTACCAGGTGGGAGGGTGGAGACCCCTGTCAGTGGAGTTCTGCCTCTGGGGATGGGCTGTGGTCCTGTGCATGGTGTCTGCAACCTGGTAAAGCCTGTGGACGAGCTGCCCACCTCAGGCATCACAGGGTGCAGTTCCCAAAGGTCACACTGTTTCCCTGTGCGCCCCTGGAGATTTCCATGGAGGGAGTTACAAGACAAACCAGCACTGATCAGAGGTAAATGTCCCTTACTCTGGGATTATTCCTTTCCCTTGAAGTTGGGAACTTAATCAAGCCCACTGGAGGCAGCCTGGCACAGGACCTCTGCCCAGCATAGCCTTTCCCCAGGATGCCACCTCCCCTTCCCAGTGTCTTGCTGCCAGTGCCCACCCTGGGCATGGGGCAGACACCTCCCAGCAAGGTTTCTGCCACCTGCTCAGACCAGATGCTGGAGTATCCCACAGTGTCTGTACTCAGGGAACATCCCACAAGCTTGTTTGGGGAGGGCAAAGCACCATCTCCATCACCAGCAGCAGTGCCCATGGTTGCAGTCCCTAATTTAACATGATTAATATGGAGACCAGGACAGGTAATGAGCACTAAGCAGTTCTCTTTATAATCCTAACCAGGCTCTGCAGAAATCATTAGCGTACAGCTTGCCACCATGTTTAGGTCAGTTTTATACAGATTTAAGGTCATTTATACAGACAATTTTATGCTGTCCTAAAGCTGGAGAAGAATTTCCTGGTGCCCATGATCCATCTCAGCCTGGCTCACGTGAAAATGTCTGGCCAGAGTGCTGCGGGCACAGTGCTTTGTGTGTTCACTTCCCTCGTGGGCTCCTGCTACAGTGGCGGTGCTGGATGCTGATGCCCAAAGCACCCAGTGCCTGCCGGGTTCCCCTTGCCCACAGTGCCATGCGGCAGCCATGGGTAATGCTGGTGGCACATTGCCCCGGGGCATGTGTGAGCCATGCCCCAGCTCATCCACAACAGCCTCTACATTTGGGATTTGGGGACTTACACTACCTCAGCAGTGCCAGTGCATTCAGGAATGCAGCCATTGGTAATTGTAAGGGCTTTTTATTTCCTTATTAGCACATTTCCACTGCGTTCTCTCAACTTTTGCCTTCCAAGAGCAGAAATTAATTAATTTAGAAATGTTGATTGAAACGCATTGATTTCTGAAAAACACGTAGATTGCTGTGGTATCTCAACTAACCAGTCCATCCCCTGGCATGGTGTCACCTCCTGTGAGTTAGGTAAGCCTTGTGGTTTCCTTTATCCACTTCAGGTATTTGGAGACCCTGGTGTAGATGCCATATTTACCTGGCTTGGCACATTCCTCGCCCCAGCTGGTGATGCCCGTGAGAAACCAGGTGCCCTCAATCTCGGTGGTGTAGGGACCTCCACTGTCCCCCCCACAGGTGTCACTGCCCCCAGCTGAGAAGCCTGCACAGAACATGTTCTGCAGGATGGTGGTGGAGGTGCTCTTGAGGCAGGTTGGCCGGTCAACGAAGGGCACCTTGAGGATCTGGAGGATGGTGGCTGGCCGGCCGCGGAAGAGCATGCTGCCCCAGCCGCTCACTGTCCCCATGCCGTGCTTCAGCAGGGCGTTGGTGAACTCCCGGCTGCCGATGCAGATGGGGGTGACGTAGCTGTTGAAGCTAAGCGGCTGGTCCAGCTCCAGGAGGGCAATGTCGTTGTGGTGCTTGTCAATCATGGAGTTGTACGTGGGGTGGGGAAGGATTTTCACCACTTTACGCCGCTGCTCCGTGTTGTCTTCCTCGTTGATGTTGTATTCACCTGCAGAGACAAGTGTGGCTTGGGCTCCACAGCTGGACCAGTGACCATGACCTGACCATGCCATCCTGATGCGATACCACCCCAGCCAGGTGGTTGTAAAAGGATGAGCACTGCACACCCTCAGGCTGCTCCGAGCCTGGTGCTCGCAAGGCTGCTTGCTCCTTTTCAAACAGCATTGGAGGTTCCCCCACAGCAGCACCTGCTTGGTCCCTGTATCCGGCAGGACCTGAACCCACATACGTGACCCCAGACACGCACTGGCCAATCAAGTGACAAAGGTCCAGATGCTTTTGCCAAGGTTATTAGTAGTGTGTCTGTTTTGGGAATTTAGTACCTGCAAAGAGATGTAAGGGGATGCTGCTCTTGCATCAAAGGGGGGAAAGCTTCTAGAATTAATTTGTTTCAAATAAATCATTTTATAAGCAAAAAGAAACTTGATCTTCCCTTTTTAAAAACCACACAGCCATGGGGCAGAGTGGGGTGCAGGGGACCACAAAATGCCACCCCCATGATGCCACAGGTGCCCCTGGGTGCTGCCTCGTGCTGCCTGCACGAGGCTCAGCTGCTGGCAATTGCAGGGTGCTGTTGGCAGCTTCAGGCTCCTGTGATTGAGTTGCTGGCAGCCTGTTACCTCCCTTCCTGACTTGTGTAACAGGTAGAGGGAAGGGAAAAATGTTCTGTGGTCTTGGGTTGGCGAATGGGCAGCATCTGGGTCTGTCCGTAGCTGAATTCCCTCTCCTGCCTGTGAACTGGCTGTGCTGAAGGCTGGAGAGCAGGATGATTTTTCCCGCTTGCTTTCTCGCAGCCCAAGAGGCGCAGGGTGTGTTTAACCCCTGCTGCAGTATTTCTACATGCTTCGCTGTAATCTCCAGAATATACGATCTCATCTAAACAGTATCTGCAGCACTGCTGGCCCTGGCAGTGTCCTGTGTCTGCTGCATCTCCCTGCGAGGAGCGTCACGGAGCCCAGCAAAAGAGGTGAGGCAGCTTTCTGCGTTCGTGTTAACGCTGGCGCCTGATAAAGGAGGGTTTGGTGGTTGGTGCTGCTGATGTGCTCTGTGAGGTTTGGTTTGTGGTTTTTTTTTTTTTTTGCAGCAGAGTGTGAATGTCAGCTTCCTTGCAGGCTGTGTTTCTACCGTGTAGATGCAAGACAGATGTAGGGGAGACTTTCAGAAGGTTCTTATGCTACGGCTACTTACTGTTGCTGGGGACCTGAAAATATGCTTCAGGGATGAAAGCAGAGAGGCAAAGAAGGACAGGGGAGAGGAATGCTTCTTCCACCTCTGCCATCAATTTTTGGGCCTCCCAGAATGCTATATACCAAGCTAAACATTTAGCATGAATGGACGTGAAGGAACCAGAGGTTGCCCATGCAGAGTACATGGTGCAGTCCCTGAAGCCCTACAAAATCATGTTTTGCTTTCTTGACTTGCTGCCTGTTCAAAATCCTGCCCTGGAAACCCAGCAGTGCTGCAGAGTGGTGGGAAGGTAGCATGAGGGGACTTGGCTGATAATGTATCCTAAATGGAGGGGGGTGTGACATGCAGGTGAGAGCCTGAAAGGAGAGGCAGATTGCATGCAGATGCAGCAAATGCAAAACCTCTGCCCAGGTGGAAACATGCTTTTCTGGGGGGAGACTGTTTTTGCACGGGGCATTTTGTTCTTTCTCATGTTAGTGGGTGCAAGGCTGGGCTTTGTGCTGGGCTTTCCAGCAAACTGCCTGAAAGTAGATAGCAAAAAACACTGTGTGCAAGCTGTGAGCCTCATCCTGCCAGCACTGGGCAGGTGGTGCTCAGCCCCATGGCACTCAGTCTCCAGGGTCCAGCCAAGGCACACCCAGGAGCTTGGCCGTGTTGACACGAAAGATGAAGATGCAGCTGGAGCCCTCTTGATGAGCTTGTTTCTGGAGATATAAACTCAGTGCTTCAAGGCTCAGGTAGAATGTAATTTTTTGTTGCTAATACATTTCGTATGTTTAAACAGAAAGTGTGATTCTTCCATGCCTCCTCTCAGTGCTGCTGGTAGCAATTACTAGCCATATTGGTGTTCTCCTCCTGTATCTAGCAGTGTAACTCTCCTATGTAAGATATTCATACAAGGGGGAAAAAAATAATTTGGGGAAGCTGATTCTGCCACAGCTGTGAAATGTGGCACCATGATGCTTGCCAAGGCCCCACGCTGAGTTACCAGCAGGCTGCCTAGCAGGCAGTCTAGAATAGCTGGCTACCAAGAGTCGGGGGAGGGGACGGGGGACAGGGGGGGATGACGACCGTTATTCAAGCAGAGATACATTTGTTTTGTAAAGTAGCAGCATCACTTGCTGTGCAGTCTGGCCACGCTGCCCCTGCTTAACTTGCCAGAGCCCCTGCTGTAAAAGCACACTTTCCCACATGGCAGCCTGGTTTCTCTGCTTCAATCCGTAAATTCTGTTTACTTCTAAAGAAGTTAGGAGAAAAAGTAGTCATCATCTCCTTGCAAGGAGTTAGTCAGCTTACTGCCGCCCCTCTTGCACCAGCTACACGAATCCATTCTCTGAGAGTTGTGTGAAAACTTAGTGTGACCCCCAGGAAGAGCAGAAATCCCTAGTGAGATCCCACACGGCCAGCAGAGATAAAAATCCATCACACCAGCTCATGAAGCAGCATCTTAACTGGAGCCCACTGGGCTTCTAAGCAGCCTGGGGTTCTCTTTGGCTCAGGTGAGATGATTGCCTGTGGTCAGGTTGAGCTGGGTTTGCAACACAGTCCAGCACCTCTGTGGCTTTGGGACCGAGGCCAGACCCAGCTCACTGCTGCCACCAGAGGTGGTGGTACCTGCAGAGACCAGGCTGCCAAAATGCTGCAATCTGGGGCCTTGGTGCCCTAAAGCAAGCTGTGCTGCATTGCTGCCCATCATGGTGGTGTGGGTCCCAGGGTTCTGTGCAATGCCTTGTGCCTGGCCAGTTGCAAGCCCTGTCCCACATCCCTTGCCTGCGCCAGCCCGATGCCACCCCAGGTCCTCACCTGCCACAGCAGTGACGTTGTCGCCTGGCTGCAGGCAGTGTGCTGCTGTCACTACCCATTTCTCATTGATGATGGACCCGCCGCAGAAGCCCACGCCATGGCTATCCACCAGATAAACCTGTGGGAGCAGAAAGAAATCACATCCGTGGGTTTGTGTAAATCGGTGGGGAAGAAGAGTGGGAGGCAGGGGTTTTGTTTGGCCATAGGACAGTCTGTGTTTAGGTCATACAGACCCGGTGCTGCCAGAGATGCTGCTCCTTGGGGTGCCCCTGCCCCTCCATCCCCCACTCTGTTGCAGAGGGTGGCCAACACCGCCCTGCACGTGCATAAGTGCGCCGTTGCACTTCTCCCTTTGCTGCCTGGCTGGGGGAGCAGACAGCCCTGAACATAAATCTCAGCACATAACTCAGAGCATCCGAAATACAAGCACTTCCACATGTACCTCCTAAAAGTGGTTTGCCAGTGACTAGATGTTAACAAGTTAACTAGGGACAAAATCTTAACTACACATTTCATTTGGGCATCTAACTGCCTTAGCATTTATGCGGCAGAAGCCAGGACATCCCTTATGCTTAAACCTCTAATTAAATTGATAAGCTGACTCAATGGACTGTGATTAAAAGAAAGATTTCTTTATACTTCACCCATTTTGTCCCTTTCACGTGACATGGCTCTATCTACTCACCGTCTGTCTGCCTCGTACTTTCCACGTGTTTACTCATTTGATGCCTCGTTAGACAGCTGGCTGCATTTTAAGGGGCTCAGTATCCATAACGAAGAGGACAAAGCTCGCCTTTGGTGATGAGGAGGAGTGTCCACAGCCATCGCCCCAATGTCCCATGTGGTCTCTGCCCCAGCTGTGCCTGCCCGTGGCCCTCAGTGCTGCCCAGCCGCAGGAGGTCAGTGCAGGCTGCTGGTGGCAGCTGCCGCCGTGGAGCCTGGTGCCCACGCTTGCCTGTGGGTGTGGGACTGCCCGTGGAGCAGCCAGAGACAAGGCAGTGACATGGTTTGTAAGGCACTTCACTGGGATCTGAGCCCCATGACTACCCCAAATCCCCGGGGGCAGGTAGCACCTCTCCTGACTGCTGCCTGAACCCCTCCAGGCTGAGCATCTTCGTCTGCCAGCTGGCAAAAGGGCAACTAGATTTTTTTTGGAGGGTGCCTGGTGAGGTAAAGGTCTCCATGAGTGCAGCCAACTAGCCAGACCTGGTGGGCTTGTAGCATGTGAATTTACTTTCTTTATGGATACTGATTTCTCACATTTAACTTCCTGGTTCTCCTCTTGACCCTCTGTGAATGCATGGTGGGTGCCTGGATCGCCTATGATCTGTCCCACAAAAGGCTGTGCCAGAAAGGTCTGTGCGGCTAGGGCAGCAGGATGGCCGCTTCCTTTCAGGCACAAGACAGGACCTCCCAACAAACCTCCTGCTGCTCCTTCTGGTGACTGTGTATGTCCCCAACACATTACTGGCTTTTTTAGCTCTGAAGTGGAGGGCAGATGCCTACTCCTGACCTATCTGTATACACCCTATTCACTGCTTCGCTCCCTCAGCGGATGTAGAGGGATCAGCTGATCTGTGCCAATGGGCATTTGCATCCCTGTGGGGGCAACTTTTCATTGACATCACCAGTGTCAACCTGTGCCAGAGCTTGCAACAGAAAGAGTTTTGCTGTTCCTAAAACCTCATCTGAATTTATTATTTTGCACTCTCGGCCACTGAGATTTCTGCACTCACTGAAGCCAGAGTAGAATTTAAGGGCAGCAGATGATTTTGAAAAAGATCCAAGCTAGGAGCTAACTTTCCTCTTAACAGCAATTTAGAAGTATTTGCAGCGCGGTGGGCTGGAGGAGGTTCCTTTGCAGCCTTCCCTTGTCTGTGATGTCACTTTTGGTGAGGTAGATATGACTAGCATGTGCAAGTTGGATAAAGAAAGAGTGGCTGGATTTAGATGAATGTCATACAAGGACAGTTCCTTTGTTGGTATAAATTATCGTGGATCTGTTGAAACTGATAGAGCCAAAAAATGAGCTGTGTTGTTCCTTGCAAAACTGTGCCTTGCAAAGCTCCCTTCCCTCAGTCTTCAGCTCAGTGTTGGTAAATTCATGGACTACAGGGGAATCTGTTGCTATAGCTCAAAACTGAATCCTTTGTGTGCTGCCACATAAAGCTGCTGTGACTCTGACTTCCAGCTTTTTTGCCAGGGTAGACCCCCAGCCAGGCAAGTTTTGTTGCTATGGCATAAAACTCTGTACAGAAAGCAGCTGTGTTCTTGTTAGACTTGAGATCTATGGCTAAGGTAACCACAGGGAGGGCTTTGGGTATGCAATGATCCTGCATTCAGAAGGAAATTAATAGACAGAGTAATTGCTGGGATTACAGGAGAGCTGCAGAAATAGCCAGTACCTGCCAAGGCACCTCGCCTCTCATGCTGTCTGATCCACCAACAACCCGGGTGCCCGTCTTAATTATCGGTGTGATTTTCGTGGTGGCGGTGGTACTGGTTTCCGTGGTGTTGTCGAGCAGCTCATCATGAGCATCATTGTGGTCATCGAAGGTGATATTCCAGTGCTCAAAGGTGTTTATGGCTCGGGTGAGCTTGCTCTTCGCTTCAGGAGCTGTGATCTTCCCACAGGGATATGGCACTGGGAGGGGAACAGTCACGGTTATGACTGGCTGCACTTCATGCTGAGAGTTACAGTGATCGAAGGGTCAGGCGAGGAGGCAAATGCTGCCTTGTCTCAGCACCCTGTTTTGGGACCGACATGGGAGATACAGGGCCATGGGCCAACCGTGCGTTCTCTGTGCAAACACATTCCTGTGCCTTTTGGCCGCAGGGCAGGTAATATGTAAGAGCAGCAAAAGCACAAATTGTTTCTGGGCTTTAGAAATGACATCTGAACAGCTTCTAAAAAGAATAAAGCTTGTGAGAGAGAGTGCACCTCTGACGGGGCGGTGGGGCTGTGCCTTTATTTCACGGGACACTGAGGTGCATACCTGAGAGGCTTGCTGTGGTAGGCAGCCGGGCACTTGGCTGACATTTCCACAGCAAGTAACTCCAGTACAATAAAAGTCCAGCTGGGAGAGGGCAGGAAATAATATCTGCCAATTGAACAGCTAATCCTGCTTGGCACCAAGGTGAGGAAAACATTAATAAACTCTTTTTAGAGTTGTAGATTTTCCCTGTTAATGAAGATCTCATCTGTAGGCTCATTTCAGATGAGCTCTTCCCA